ACGTCGACTCAAGGTCGCAACGGAGGATAAACCACCCGTCTGAGCAAAACAGCATGCAATTCTGTTTGCGTCCCAATCTCACTAGGTCCGCGTGTCATCCTATCTCACACGTATCCTCCCAAAAGGACGATACACGCATCTGGTCGACCTGGCCCGGCATTGGCACCATATATGATTTTTTGTTTCACAAGCACCATCTATGCCCTCGCAAAGCCCCATCTTGTCTCGAGGCACCGACGGCCCAGGATACGGATCGGACAATGAAGCTTGATTATGTCGTCTGTTCTGAGAAGGACGGCTCATCCTTTGGCCCATTTCCAACCGTATGTGTACCCCCAGCTTCCATCGTTGGATTCCGCAGGCGTGTTACATGCTGGGAAGAGCCACGGAGACATTCTAGCCTCACTAATCAAGCATGATCAGCATGGGACCTGCTGCTGTGGCTGTCTGACGAGAAACAAACCCCTGCCGCTTATGGCAAAATGGCGGGAAAGTTTTCACTGCCGTTTTGCAACCTCGATCTGCACTACGTAGCCGTATGTACTGGTGGGCAGTGGTGGCTTTTTTCCTGGCTCTTGCCATGGGCGCGACGATCCCAGCACCAGCTTTTCACTTCAAGGAGCACGTCCTCTCCTTCTCACGCATACATGACGGCTTGTGAAAAGCCACGATCTTGCCCCCACGTTCCAATCTCCAACGGTGTGCATGGCCAAACACATGCATCCGTGGTCAAACCCATCTTCTCGCAGAATTTCTACCACCATCAACAAAAGGTCCAACTTTAAGTAAAATAAAAAAGGTGTAACGGCGAAGCAGCGCAGCCGTGTCGGGAACTTGAGTGGCACTACATACGCGTCGTTGTTTGCCCGACGTGAGCCCAAAATGGGTTACACAAGATGTGACGCCAATCCGCAATCGCGGAAAAAGACCTACTCCAGGTAACCAATTTACATGGGTAGGTCAGTCAATTTCGCAAAGCACTAAAATTGGAAACAATATAGACATATCGAGTTCATTATCGGCTGGTGATGCAGTAGCCATACTCTCCAAGCTTGAGAAGCTCGACACCATTCAATCTTGAGGTCATGTCTCCTTTACGCGACCTTAAAGGAGGGTGCCCAGAACACGCTCCCTAACGCTCGTCAAAAATTCCCAGAAGGAGGTAAGCCCATCATCCAGTTCAGGATTTAGGACGAGTCGGGACTAGACTATTCTGGCGGTAGTCGGGGAGGGGAGCTGGAACAAACCTGGGGAGACAGGAGTTGAGGGAGGCATGAAGAGGCACGCGGTGTCGGGGCAGCCAAGAGCGGAACGACACCACGCACATGGAACCCCGGCGTCCCTCCCGTCTGGGAGAGGAGTGCGACGTGGGAGTGGGCCCGTGGATGGGTGCATGGGACTCGCACAAGGCACAAGCAGCGCCGGCACAATTTTGATGACAACGACGCGAATCCCCTCCGCCGCAAAGCACTTACAACGTCGCTTAGGTCTCATACCGATGGTCGACCAGGCTCATGCAGCATGATGGTACGCAGGAGACATAAAGTGCACAAGGACAAGACCAACTTCAACCGTTGCGGTGAGGGATGGGACAACCAACCCATGTGAGGCACGCTTACGGGTGTTTACAATGTCAAAAGGCCCCTCGTCGACATGAGGAACAGCCCCTGCATGATCAATAGGAAGCTGCAGGCTTATGATGGGGACATTGCATTTGCTGTCACTTGTCGAGTCACCACAGTTCCCGTCGCAATGTGGACTAGCAATGGGTGCAGGGCCGAGGCATGCATCGAGTGCACCGCTTACCCAAGTTCTTCCCTTTTCCCTCGCAGGGAAAAAGAAGCCACGTCAAACGTGGTCTTCTGCTGCTCAATGCCGACTTTCTCGCTGGCTCGGAACGGAAGCATCCTTGTGGCATCCCAGCTCGGTTCGCTCGTGGGAACGGAATCTAGCCATGTCATGATCAACAGAACAAACCCGATCAAACGTGCAGATGGTCTCCCCTCCCCGCCGGCACCGTGGCACCGTGGCACCTCGACAATGCTAAGCCGTATGCATTCCCACGCAGCTGGACCATGCAGTAGTGGCGCTCTTAGCTGGCGGCTAGCGCATGCACCTGGCGGAAGAGCCAGTAGAGCGAGACACGGCTGGGCCAAGTCCAAGGAGAATCCCTGGTCCCAGCGAATGGAGCAAGTCCCTGCCTCGAAATGCTGCAATGAATTGGTTCAGCTGAGGGCGTGGCGGTCTGCAGAGGAATCGGCGGTCACGTTTGGCGTGCCTTGGCTCAGGAAACCGATGGCCAGGACTAGACGGAATTGCAGGGAAAAGCAAGAAGACGGCCTGCCGGCCAAGCGACGACACCCACGTTGGACGTTGGGGCGGCATTCTACATGGCCGAGGCAGGCAAGGAGACAACACACACACACTCTTTGAAAGACCAGTGGACATCGAATGATATTGGGATTGATGCAACTGGAAAAAGAGCAAAGAAAGGAAGCCGGGTCGAAGGCGGCAGTGAACCGACCTCTCCGGGGAGTTCCAGGTGTTGAAGTTGAAAACGGACGTGCTTTGGGGCATCCCAGACTTTGCTTTGCATATGCAATTTCTCTAGTCCGGATGGCAAAGACTTCGTCTGAAGTATTGAAGCAGCCGTCACGTCAAGCTTATGAAGGCATTGGACCGGGCCGCCGCATAGTCGCGCGGCTTGGGCTTGACGATGGGATGGATGCATGACGGAGGGCGTTGTGCAAAAGCTCGAGCAGCCGCAGCGGGCTGCCATGTATGTACATGCGCCTGTGACAGCCTGTCAAGCCAGCCCACGAGCCATCTCATCATTCATCAGATCAGATGGCACTGGGGCGCAAAATTGTCCGAGCTTCAATTGGGGAGCGCGCAACGACGGGTCAACCAAACCAGCAACGATAGCGTTTCTCGCTTTACCTCGTCTGTGAACAAGCTGAACCCTGGCGGGCGTCTTTGGGGTACTTGACACAGAGCCAGGGGCCCGTGGAGACAGCAAAGAGATACCCGGCTCGACCCCTGCGGGCTGAAGCGCGAGCTGAGCGCCGCCGCTGGGGGAGAGAACCAACCCAACCCACATCTCAGATTTCCCGATGCACCCCAACGTCGACAAGTGAAGTGTCAGTCTGCTTCTCTCTGCTCGTTCCGCGATAACAGACATTGGCATGACCTGTGCCGACATGGGATCTCGGCCATCGGCCACGGACGCCAAACGGGTGATTAAGATGTGCCGCCGGGTCAAGCGGGACATCATCCAACGGTATCATGTGCCCCGATCTGCCGAGGAAACAAGCATCAATCAATCCTCTCAAGCCAACAAGAAAGGAAGGCCTCGTCTGATAATACCTGGGTACGACACTGTGAAGGGAACCGCTGGCGCGTGCCCGTTCCCATCACTCTCTTTCACCCGCGGGCAAACCTACCTGGCCGGATTCCGCCCCTGGTATCCGTAACTACCTTCTGCGTGGGATACAAAACAGCCACTGCACTTTGTCGCGCTGAAACTCCAGGAACGCTAGATATGACGAAAATCCAAAAGCGCATCAGGTCTCGCTTCTTGAATGCAACCTCCCAAACGATGATCCTTTTTGGCCCTTGATCGCACGGGCGGTCTTCAGCGCTGGTCTTCATACCTCGTCCCAGCGCCGTCATTCCCCGGTATCCGCTCGAGCTCATGGCTATGCACGAGCCCAGGTGTCATCTAAGATGTGGCGAGACGCTTCCATGCCAAGCAGGACCTGGCTTCTGTCAGCTATTGCTTTCCCCATCACGACGAGTGGACGGCCACACGCCGATTTTCGTGCCCAAAAACACCAAGGAGTCTGCGACGGTATCTGCTGTTGGTAGAGCCTCCCCCCGTTGGCCTATCATCTGTACCCAGATGGTTGAGGCAGGCTGCACACTGTACGGCAGCATTAGACACCGCAATGACGTTGGCCATCCAGTTAGCACCCGCCAGCATCACATCGCTTCAGGAGGTGGGATGTGATGAGATGAGATGGGATAACGGGAGAGCAACACCGCAGCAGACCAGACTGCGTGTTGGACCCAGATAGTGACCTCGGGTCTGTGGCAAAGGGTTGAGCAGCTGTAGGGCCTAACCCAGAACATGGAGGCAGCGTCAATGTCGCTTGTCCCGGGGATACCCCCGGGTGCGTGTAGTCGATCCTAGAGACACACACCCAAACCCAACAGAGCCTACCGCCCAAGGCAAGATGATTGACAGTGCCAGTCCAGTCCAGCACAGCAAAGCAGGGCAGAGCAGAGCAGAGCAGAGCAAAGAACAGGACTGTCATCACCCACGCACAGCACGATGCCCTCTGTACCTGACGGTGGGCAACTACCTACGCAAGCAATCACTTCACTGTCTCTGGGATGAGGAGGTCGCGCCCGAGGACAATGGCCTAGGGTGGGCCCAGCAATAATACGGGTCAAAGTGCGAATAAGCTGAGGTTCCGGGACAGGGATTGTGCTGGCCCTAGCTGATGGGATCCCAGCTCTCCAACCCGAGATGGAGGTACAGGACTCTTTCTCATTGCCTGCCAGCGCTCGTGCTTGCACTCGCGGGCACGGTGCCTCGAGCCGGTCTGCTCGGTCACTGCCTTGCCTTACTTACAGGCAGCCGCCCATATGTGCACCCGCAGGATAGCCGTCCCTCTTCGTCTCCCGGTATATTACCCACACGGTCATTTTCCCTCCCGATCATCAGGCTGGCGGCGTTGTTACATTGGCTCATTCGTTCCGAAAAGCCAATTCCAATCTCGTACTCGACGTCGTCCAAACTCTGCCAGTTCGGGGAAAAGAAAAAGAAGGTTGACTGGAGCACCACAACAAACACGCTTCGAGCATGATACCATGTAGCTTATTACGTCGCTTCGCCGCAAAAAGCTACCTCGCTATTCTTCTTCTGGCCCGCTACGAGTGGGCAAAGACCTGACCCAGACCCCAAACCAGATGCCAGCGGGCGAGCAGCCAAGCACATGCGTCTTGCTGCTCGACTGGGAAAGGTCAAACTCAGGGGACAAGGGAGATGGGAATCCGGCGGCCTGGTGCTGGCGTTGGTGCATGGAGGGGGATTTGGGGAGTCTCGCCTGAACAAGAAAGCAAAGCCAGGTATCCGTCCTCTGTACAGAGTACCTCTGCCTTGCAGCCAGTCTCGAGGTCAGGGTTCTGGCCTCGACATTTTGGACTGTCTGTTTTTATGTCCCTTTTTCTTTCTTTCCAGCATTCTACTACTGCCTGTCTCTCTATTTCCCGTCTAAGACTCCAAGTAGGGCCCGTCTTCGACTACCTACCCATCTTCCTTACCGTGTCTAATATTCAGACGACACCCCATCCTTCTCTCTTTCACTCGCACACGCCGCCTATTGCTTCTTTCATCGTTTCTTTTCCGGCTGGCAGGTTGGCCCCTCCCCCCTACTTTTCTTCCTCAGCAATGGCTACTGACTGATGACAGACCTGGCTGGAACACGGCCTTTGCTCTCTGCAGAAACGACACTTGCCTCACTCCCATCCACTCTCGCACTCCCTCTTCCACTTCCATTTCCAACCCAATCACTGAAGCCAATCCACAGATACCTGCGTCTTCTTACTGTGCATCCACACCCTTGAGCCCCCCTTGCCCAGGTCTCTTTGGCTGCCAGTCGCTCCTCACCCCCTCCCCTCCCTCCTTGTACTCACCCTCCTCGTCCGTGTGTTTCCCCAAGGCAAGGAGCCTCGCGCACTCCTGATGCCTACCTTTGGTTGTGTACTTAGCACACACCAGACAGAGGCTGACTACCTCGTCCGTCAATGAAATATTAACCTTTAATCTCCAGAGACTGGCGCCTACTTTTTGAGAAGCCCACCCCCTTCTTCAAACCCACCGTCCCGGCAGCCTGCTTGTATTCCGTCTTCGACCTGTAACGCCCAGACTCTGCTGCCCCAAGCTAAGGGACATTCAATACGCCACTGTCGCCCGTCTTCCAGGTAAGGTACCAGCAGTGCGGAGGTCAGTAGGTGTCTCGAGTGTTGAGAACTACCTGAACTTGATTTACTCTCACCCACCCAGCTGCGTGGTGCTAGACCTTGGTACCTCTTCTTGCTGGACCTCGATGAATGATAAGCCCGGACGACACATAACAGAGAAGAGAGAGAGGGAAAGTCAGAGACAGAATTGCTGGAGAGACACTGAACGAGAGAGAAAAGCATCCTTTTGATCACATCTCTCTTCCATCCTCTCCCCGCTTCACCTACCTCAGACATTCCAACAACTCCCGCTGTCGCCTCCGCCAGCGGAGCAAAGAATCCAATCGCGAGGTTCTATACTACTCTTTTCGTTCCGTAGGGCAGAAGCCACCCTCCTCATTATCCCATCCATTGTCAGACAGTACACCCCCGGTACTTGGAGCTGAGGCGCCAGGGTCTTCTCAGTTTTTGGTGTCCGACTACCCATTCTCAAGCCCCCCTTCAGCCCTCCCGGACTAAAGCCTGGCTGGCTTTTGGCCTAACAAAACCTGGGTTAGCCCCCAAGACGAAGTCCCGCACCATTGCGAAGCTACATATATTCGACAGCCGCCTCCACAGTGGATGGAGGGACGGACTGGACTGGCGCCCTAAGGTGATCGACGCACGATAACTCCTTTCGACATCCCAACCAGGATAGCTTTTAAAACCTGCACAAAGCCTCCTTCGATCTTTCCATTGGCAGACATACTTTACCCTGAGGGACATCTTCTCTTTCTCATCATCATCTCCTGCATACCATCGATCTAGTTTCCTCCACTCCGCCAAGTACTTCTGAACTTTGTTTTGGACACTCTTAAACTGAGTCGTCTTTGGACATACATCTACCTGCAATAATCCCCGGTCTTTCTCTGGACACGTCGGCAGCAGCAGACTCACGATCGTGTTTGGCACGGGGTAACTGAAGTCGATCGACACTGACAAATCAGCAGCCAGGAGCGAGAAGAAGCATAAGAGTTACCGCTCCCGCTCCTTCATTCCTCAGTGCCTGCGCCTGAGTGCCAACTCTTTTCAGCCGTCGGCCCCATTTTTTCGACCATCAGCATTTTTCGGGAGGATCAACCCTTTCGACGAAGCTACACCATCAGGCAACGCCCAGCTCAAGGTAGCGGGTCACACGGAGACTACAAACCTTCTCCGTAGAGGTTGACAATCGACCTTCCCGGTTCCTTTCAAAGAAAGGAGAATATTCTTTACAAAATGGCAATGGAAACCTCCCAGAGCTTTACGGCTCGCCGACAGGCGACCCAAGCCTTGCCTCCTTTCCAACTACCATCGACAAACCAAGATATCCCTAGTATGAGGAACTATTTCAATTACTCAAATCAGATCACACACACTCCTTCACCATGGCCGGCGACGTGCACGAATCCGTCGTCGGCTCCTCCCTCCTCTTCCTCCGCAGCCTCCAACGCGCACCACTCTCCAAATACCGCCAGCTCAGGTCTAACATCGCCTTCAGGAGTGACGGGCGAAGGGCTCAGCCCCCTCTCCTCTGGTGTCAACACCACCAGCTCCCAAAGCTCACACTACTATTCGCAGCACGGAGCATGGCCGACCCCTCAGAGCTCTTCCTACGCGCTTAGCTCTGGGACACCGCAAGCCATCCAGCAATCGCCGTACGGTTCCTCACGAGCGAGCACTTACGAACAGCAATCCCCCTTGCCATACTCCCGCACTTCTCAGTCTCCAGCAACCGGCGGAGAGGGTCTCCCGGGCCCCTCCTACGGCCAGGGTCACCAGTTTTCCCAAGCGGCTTATTCCCAAGCAGGATCTACTCCAGTTAGTTTGCCTTCCCAGGCCTCTCAAACTGCGCAAACAGCCATTCTCGGTTCTCAGACTCCAGTTTCGACGCAGCCTCCCACGCCTGGTGCTCTATCTTCGAATGTTGACTCATATGCGCAGTCCCGACCATCCATTGCACCATCCTACTACGCATCCTCAGCTCCTCAGCAATCTGGATTCCCCGGCTTCCAATCGCACACATCCCCGACCGCACCGTCTCCCACGACTTCTGCCGGACCGGGAAGGGGGTTGGCCTCTATGCCCCACCCTTCCGGAATGGCACCTCCTCAGCCATATGGTCGATACGCTTATGGCGTTCCTCCAATGGGAGGGCCTATCATGTCGAACCTCAACACCCCAGGGCATCAAATGTCTCTCGTGTCTGGTATGGGCGTTGGTTACCCACACCACATGGGTCCCTCGATGTATGGTCACGGCCACGGCAGTCAAGCAAACGCCCAAACGGAGCGCCCTTTCAAGTGCGATCAGTGCCCACAATCATTCAACAGGAACCACGATCTGAAGAGACACAAGCGAATTCATCTGGCCGTCAAGCCCTTCCCCTGCAACTTTTGCGATAAGAGCTTTTCGAGGAAGGATGCCTTGAAGGTATGGCTTCCCATTCTCAAATTCCAATCTTTGACACTGAGAAACATCGCTAACGAACATTGTAGAGACACCGCCTCGTCAAGGGCTGCGGAAACAAGGATGGCGAGAATGCTTCGACCGACAACAACCGACGTTCGCCGGGAGATCACTCCGATGACGGGACACCCACCTCGGTCAAGCGCGAGGCATGAACTGATGCCTATCCCGGTGGCGCGCGAGGGACGTGGCTGTCAAGGTTGTGCCTCTCAAGCAAGCCACTTTCAACGTTCATCCACCCCCAAGGTGGAATGGCTGCCTTGGTTACGAAACTGAATCACGTTGGCGTCAATGGCGTTCGGAAAATGGGTCGACAAATGCTACATGCAAGATCACGATTCCATCAAATCGAATTGGTCTCTTTCTATACGACACTTTACTATTTCTCGGGTTTAATAATACGGGGTGAGGCTATAAGGGTCGTTTGACCGGGGATACCAAAACCTTATTATAAGGCTTCACTTTCTGGGTCAGAAATCACGACAATGGAAACGGAATCGGCGGCGAAGGAACGGATTGCGACATCTACTTTGGGTGCTCAGGAAGGGCGACACACGCAACATACCATCATAAAGGGGAATAATGGGATCGGACACGGAACTCGGCGCAAGGGGTAGGGCCTTGGAGACTGCAGCGGGCGGAAATGCTATATGGTGTTTGGAAATCACAGCTTGTTGTTATTTTGGCTTCAAAGATACCAGTACAATGTACCATACGGGAGGGGAAAGGCTGCCTGGGACATCTAGTGCTGTGGGGATCTATTCAGAAAATTGGACAGGTGAATAAGAAGTCATTTGTGTACAAAAGAAACTTTGAAAACCGGGGTTGTTTACCTTGATCGATTAAACTTCAGGAACATATCTTTGACCCATTTTTTGCGTGATGTCAGCTTGCAAGCTTTGTAGACCAGTGACCGCGCGTCGTGGATAGTCATGGTCGATGATGTCAAAACATGCGGTTCGTGACCAATATCTTCCATCAGCTGGCCCGAGACAACCCTTCTGCCCTAGATATCATGACCGACATGCTGCCGAGACGTGAAAGTCAATCACGCAATGGCAGCATCCGTATGACTGGTACGAGCTGCGCGTCATGGGCTAACAAGGTCGTGAGAGGATTCAGCAACCCAGGTTCGCAGACACGGTCGTCACGATGGCCTGTGGTCCGCGGTCGAGATAGCCTCGTCGGATCAGGCAGAGGCGAGAAACCACAGACAGGAGGACACTCGGGTCCCCTTCCTGACGTGCCCGTAAATCTCCTAGACCACTGCTCCACTTGGGACGACTTAAACCATGGAGCCATATCGTGACGCGCAGTAGCAGCAGAGCGGAAGCAAGCAAGCAAACGGGCAAGGTGAGGTTGAGGAAGGTTTGCGGGTACTGTGAAGCCTCACGCCCCACCCCCTTCCCCCCCGCGCCCGGGCCCCCCTTTCATCTGATCTAGCTTCACAGACTAAAAAAGAACGACATTTTAGCTTCCCAAGTCAGGACGGCGCGGGCGTGCTGACAGGACCGGAGGCATAAGGGGAGAAACAAAAGAGGAGTATAGACGAGATGAGATGAGATTTGGGGGCGCGGCGACAAGCACGGTTGCATGGGCAGCGAGTTGGAGGACTGTATCTCTAGTCCAGCCATGGTTTCGCCTCTCCGTTTTCTGCCATTCAACCACCAACGGGTAAGGGGGCGGGCCAGAGAGCGACTGGGAGGCAGAGAGCGAACCGGAGAGACAAGGCTAGAGAGGGCCGGGACCATGCAGACGCAGAGCCTAGATTTTGAGTGCTTGTCGGAAAATCGGATGATGGGACGCGGAAAGCACAAGTCTACCGACAAAGCGCGCAGTAGATCAGCTTCTTCTCCCCGCGTAGGTCCTTTGCCATAACCGATAATAAAACCCATTTTTTTACTCGTTCTATGATACTCGATAGATTAGTACGCGCGGCGGTCGTGGAGCTTCGCCCATTCCGGCCGGGAGAGATTATTTCTTTCTGCAGCTCAGGAGCAGCAAGTCCAGCAAGTCCAGATGAACTGGAGAATCTGGAAGCTTATCGACCAATATTGGTACTCCATACATCAAGCTTTATGAGGCGTCGAGGCGTCGAGGCGTCGAAGGTTTGAAAAGAACTGCAGCTCACCTGGTGCCTCCTCCCCGCGTTGAGAAAAACGCCCATCACAGCCAGCCGCTAAGGTGTGGTGGTGGTGATGGTGGCAGCAGAATCATGTGGTTGGTAAGTCGCCTTTGATGCAGGCTGCAGTTAACTTTTCTCATACTGTTGCGACAGGTGATGCGGTGTTAGTGAACCCCTTGCGTCGTCGTAGATGCGGCAGCGAGTCATCATTGACAGGTGACTTTGCGGTTTGTTTTTCCCCGTTCCAATGCTAAAATCCCTCACCAAGTGTTGATCCAAAAGGGTTATCACATCGGAGCTGGACGCGTTCAATTCTGGAGGAGATGGCCCGAGTATCGCGGTGGACAAAGCCAGTCCCAAAATGCCTTTCGTAGGGCAGGAAGGGGTGAAGGGGCGTGGCTAAAGAGACGAGACGGCTGGCTGGAAGCTGAACCAAACCTGAGGTGAGCTGAGACATGCTCACGCGGAGGAATAGAAGAATAGCGGCGCTTTAAGGGACCAGTCCAAGAACAACCATCCTACTCTCTCGCCTCCCACTCAGCGCTCTCTGGCGGAAAGACGCCTCCTACCCGGGTGGACGAGGGGGCTTCTAGCCTTCCCCTCCTCCGCTCTCCTGTCCCCCTTTACCTGGGTTTCAGTGGCATGCTGGTGGCATCGCTAGTTGACGAGCTAGAAGGAGCCACGCCATTTTTGCACGAGGGGGCTCTCGGTGTTTGTCTCCATGATTGCATCCGAACGAATTGGCATTATAGCCCTTGGTGTCCAACGGGTCCCTCACATCCCATGTTGGTGTGGTGCTACTTCGTACTCTGAAGGTGCGAGTGGGGGACCACTTGACGACCATCGGCCAACCGCGTCGACTCCTGATCGTCCTTTGTCCTACCCAGAGCACGTCGTAGCGTGGGTAGACACGGCAGGCAGAAGGAACTTGCTTCCTCTCCCACCCCAGCGGCCGGTCGACTTTGCGATGTTGCATATGCGCGTATCCTTGGCGAGCAGGACGCATGCCTTTCCCCATCCCAGTCGCAATAAGCATTGCAAGCGGAGGCGGTGGCCACTTGTTCAGTCCCCCGTTTTGGAGAGGCATGCCACGCCGTCCTTCAGCGCCGTGGCTGCCGGTTTTGGCGGACGTTCCTGGTGTTCTTTCGCATTTCCTCTTCTCTTTCTTCGAGTCGGCGTGGTATGGCACAAGCCCTGCTCGCCACGTCGTTCCTCAGAGACGCCGTTTTGAAGGCAAGTCCACGATGCCGTACGCCCCAAAGGCGGTTCCCGAAGCCGGGTGAACGCTGTGTCCACGAGGAGGAATGTAGGGGTGGAGGGCCGCCGGCTGTCGGCAGGGACATTGCCAAATGTGCCGCCGCTGACAAGGCGGAGCACACTCTGGCGAGGTATCTCGTACAGATCAGCACACTCGGAGGGAAGATAAATCGTCATGCTGCTCGATATTCCACTTAAGGCTAGTGGCTACCTTCCGGCGGCAGCGGCTGAACGTCCGGATGCGGGATTGGGGAATTCCATCGATATCCTGCGCTACAGCTCCGCCGCATTCCTTCCCACCAATCTCACCTCTGCGTCCGAACCAAACGAGCACGGTACATTTTGGTCAGCGGAGGTGGGTTTCTTGGAGATTTGACTGGCTGAACCTTGGGCATCTGGGCGCCTCGGACGACACACGCGTCGCTCCGGCAATTCGTCGGCGAGATCCCGCAAAACGAGGGCGCAAACGGGAGCGGAAGAAGCATTTTGCGGCTCTATATCTCGTCTTCAAATAGTATTCGAATCCAGACAGCCACCGTATTGGCCATCGCATCGTTCGAGGTCATGACACTTAATTGCCTGCAGTAAGCTGACGGTGACTTTGTCGACCCCGGCCGTATGTCCTCTTCGAGATCAAGTTCCTTCAATTATGAAAAGCACAAGCTCAATTCCAGAGCGATGTCTTCTTGATTATTCTTTGGTCAGATGAACGGCGTGGTGTTTGTTTCCGTAGCACCGCTGATGCGGTACGGCTTCCTGCTTCAATTGGGACGACCCATCTTCGTTCAACCAGAGGACAGTATTTGATACGCGAGTAACATTCAAACCCTAGTTGATTGGAACGGGAATGATTCGTGGAAGAGATGGCGTCCGCGTCAATTTTGCCGCTCGTGTCATCTGTAAGCCAGTCATTTCCTCCCACCCGTCATCGGCCTCACCTCTTTGGTAGAACGTTTTAGCACAGAGTACAGCATGTAATATCAATGAGTGATGGGCGCAATTGCGTACGTTGGCTTGTCGTTCGATTTGACAACGGCTGACTTAGAATAGTGCGCAGGCTCGCGCAATTGTAAGAGCCTGTTCTTAGCAGCAAAGTCTCGCACATGCAGCCGAGGACAACGGTCACCAGGCCATGCATGTGCCCAATGTCATCGTCGCGGACAGCTCCTCAGATTCGGATATTTCCTTCCTTGTCTAAGGAAAACGGCATCGCACTTGTCGATCACTTCAAGGATGGTGACTGGCAGTTGCTTGATGTCGACCGAATGCATCCGTCGATACTGAAGAGCGACACCTTGAGCCTTCTAGATGAAGACTTCATCCTGGTCGAGAGTGTAAGAAAATTATTGGGTAGAACGGAACGCCGTTCGCCGTGATTCGGGCTGATCCCACCAAATGGGCAATCATCGGGAAAGAAGCCAGGGCATCCGTTGCAAGTCGTCGAAATAGACTCGGCAACCTGCTTCACCCGCCCCTTGATCCCGGCTCCGCGGTTTGGGTTGGATGCAGATGGGGATGTGATAGCCTGTGTTCCCCGCCTGTGACCAACCATGGCTCCAACCCACCCAATTTCTGTGGACGCTTGGTGCAGATCATTCCCCATGTCTGACGGAGACAGGTCACCAAGAGTACCAACCAAAGGAATTCAACGGCCGGAGCGGGAAAACCACTTGCTTGACGTCGCCGAACTTTATTGCAGGCGGCGCCGGCGTCAGAAGCGGGTGAGTTCTGGATGGCCGGGTTGACGGGAAGCTGCATGGGGTTTGGGATTACAATCATCCTTTTCGGCAGCAGTCATAACGAATGAGATGTTGACTGTGCATGCGCTATCCAGGTAGTCAACACGACCTTGGTGTTCGAGTCGGCTCACTACCCCATGGCAAAGACCACTGGTCAGGTGTTCCAACACCATTGACGGTTCCATGTCCCATCCTAGCCAGCAAGCCAAGGATACGTTCAATCAGCAGTATAGCGGCTCGGGCATCGGGCAGTTCATTTGCAAGCATTCCCGAAGCACTGTTGATCGTTGCCAGGATAGGTTGATTACCGGCATGGCTCATCCGGAGAGTTCGTCGATCGGACCCCACAAGAAACCCGGTGGCCGGCTCAGGGGCGGGACAGACACGAATAGCACAGTCAATATGCCGGCGTGATTCAAGTACCGCCGTATCCGAGCGGTTCAGAGGTGGAAATTCGCTCGACAGGGAAAAGCTTTCCTGGGTTGATGGAAAGATTTGAAGGAAGATACCGCTTTTCGTCATCGGAGTCGGCAGGCTGCGAAAATGCCAAACTGCCATGGAATCGATCGAGTATTGCATACCCTCAACAAAATGGCTCTTCGTCGCCGTGAAAAATGTTGGTAGTAATTGTTACTACATAGTATAGCCGCTAATGACGAATAGGGTGTACACGGCTCTTTTTCCATGTCTGAGTTTGAGGGTCTTTCGTTCGGCAGGTTTTGTCTGGAATGAGCAAACCAAACGTCTTAATTCGTCAGGGCAAGCATACGCCCGCAATTGAACTCAACTAGAAGCAACTCTAATAGAGAGTTTGGATGAGGCTGGTGGTTTGAGATGGGAGCTGATGATTCCGACTTTAGCTGAGACTCGTGCCGCCTCAAGCCATACTAGTCCTTGTGAATGCCATACTGCTTGCATCAGCCCCAAGCTGGCAACAAAGGCGCAGAGGCAAGATTGTGGATTCGTTTCTTGCTGCGCCGAGGAGCCGCTGCTGACGACAACTTCAAAAGCCGTTGGTGGGTCAGACACGGGTAGTTGTTTACTTTGACGTTTCCGAGAAGTGAAGACGGGTCACCGTTGTTTGACCATCTGGAAACACATGGACTACTCGTGGTTGAATATTTTCATCATCTGTCCGTCTTGTGGTCCTTCAATACGGTGGTTCATCGTGAAACTGTAGCTGATTACTGTTTTGGGTAGATGAAGTGAAGTTCTTGATTCGGCCGAAAAAGTGTCAACCCGAACTTCGCGCCATCGCCACGTTGAATAGGAACAGAATCATGGTAACACGCGAGAAGTGGGGCGGTATCAAAGTATCGGGGCAATGATGCGCAGGCAGATCGCCAATCACGTCTCTCGGACGAAGAAATGAACGGCAATCCCAGCAAAGACCGATTCCAACGGATGCGATTGGCGGGTTTGGATCAGACTGCCAGGATGAGTATTGTTTTCCAAAGGGGAGACCGGCCGAGAATAGGTTGGGTTTTGTCTTGATTTCGGACGAATGCTCAGACTGGCCTGAACATCATGCTTTGGTGACGACACATGAGACAGTCTAGCTGCATCTCTGAGCCTCATGGTAGCAGCCGCAAGTGCACCCTGAGCTTGTGTCCAATAAGCGTGATATTGACTCAAACGAGGGGCCCTTGATTTTGCCAAGCTCACTGACCAGACCGCCGGCGGGCACATTGAGTTCTGTCAGGCCTGGGCTTGGCTGGACTGATCTGCTTCGGCGGCCCATGTTTGTGTCTCCAAATGGTTCAGAAACCCGGGGGAGTGTTCTATTCTGGGAATTCAGAGGCGTTCGAGTCATCCAAAGTCTCTTCCGCCGGAGGATAAGGCATACCACGGCGCATGTAATGGGGTCTGGTGATCGTGTTTTTGGGTAGTCGGGCAGCTAAGTGCAGTATCGTGATTAGCTGCAGCTCTGCATCTTTTCGTCTCGTCATTCGTTCGAAGTCTGTGTGGATAGCGAGAGACTACGGCGTAAGGCAAAGTAGAGAAAAGGCTGATGTCGGCATCCCAGATGAGCAGGTTGTTTGAGCGCAGAGTGGATGGACGTTAGAGTTCGCGTGTCACTCGAGGCAAAAATTGTTAGCAGGCCCAGGTAGCAGTACTTTCTTCTGCCCCGGGCGGGGCGAACACTAAACCGAGATCGGCCAATGAGAAAGAGCTTCTCGGGGGCCTCCGCTTACTATCCGTCCTTGGCGCTGTCGCAAACTCCACATCTGCGCAAGTTTGGCAGGGGGTCGTCCCACGAGGCCAGTAACTTCCTTCACGGGACTCCTTATCTGCATCTCGGCATCACTGCTACGGCGAGCTGCTAACGGCATCTTAGGACCACCTGCGTCCAGCCGTCCGTCTCACCTAGGACCATCCAAGCTCCATGGCCGGTCGGCAGGAACGACAATAAGTCACATCTGCCCGTCTCCAACATCTTGGCACGAGCCAAGTCACCTCGCGTTAATGCACAACATGCTCTTGTTTCGCCGTCGCCTTGCGAGTCCCCATTCGTAACGCCCTCCCTGCTTGAAGCGTCTGAAGATCCCTCGCAAACCTTCTCGCCGCCAATCTATATCACCGTCTTCGCCGCCTGACCCTTCTCCTCCACGCTCCGTCCGAAGAAGATCACGTCGCTTTCTTTTACATACGTCGCTTCGAGATCTAATATCTAAATACACGGCCGGGACTGGAGCCTGGTTGGAATTTCTATCCCCCGTCACTCTCTAATATCAAGCGCTTTGTTTCCTTCACGACAGCGTCGACCGCTTCGCACGTTCGAACCGCCACCATGGACGCTCTTATGGCAAGGCATGGGGGAGATGAGCATACGACGACAGGAACGGCCACCGCTTCCGATGCCATGCCCGGCATGGATATGGGATCCGGATCGATGAACATGAACGGCTCGACCAGCAGCGGCTCAAGCATGAGCATGATGATGATGACCATCTTCCAAACCAACCTCCGGACCCCACTCTACACTGAGACCTGGACTCCGAACAGCGTTGGAACCTACGCCGCCACCTGTATCTTTCTGATTTTCCTCGCTTTCGCCATGCGCAGTATGGTTGCCCTCAAGTCCATTCAAGAGAAGCGGTGGTTGGACAAGGATTTCAAGCGCCGATACGTCAGTGTCAACGGCAGACTGGGAATGGCCGACAAGATGTCATCGGATAGCATGGCGCAGAAAATGGTACTCTCCGAGAATGGCGTCGAGGAAAATGTCACCGTCGTTCAGAAGCAGCACGGTATTTGGCGACCATGGAGATTTTCGGTTGATCCCGTCCGGGCACTGATCGATACGGCCATCGCTGGTGTTGGATATCTGCTGTGAGCAATCATCACCCGCACTCGAATTGAAACGTGGTACTAATGGGCGTATAGCATGCTGGCTGTCATGACAATGAATGTTGGCTACCTTCTCTCGGTTCTCGGCGGTGTCTTCCTGGGCAGTCTCGCTGTTGGCCGGTTTGCCACCATGGGCGAGCACTAGGCTACCCCGATTTGCGACGACTTTGCGGCGGACATCACCGGCTGCAATCTGGTTGACAGGCTGACGAGATCTTCTTCCGCGGTAATCCACCAGCGGTTGTGGATGCTGAAAAGATGGAAACGAGTTATGCGACCACGAGTACGGACAGTTACCAACCAGCTTTACCTTTAACAACAAACCTTCAGACTTTTGGGATTTTTTTCTTTTGGGTCCTTGTCATGGGAGCCTCCAGGCATCCAGTGGCTAGTATATGACACTCGTTCAGAGGTGCTGTAAATAGCACGATTACATACTGCTGTGACGGTGGTACTGCCAACCTGGCAGCTATGACATGAAGCCGTCGCGAGTTTTGGTCCCCAAATGTCTGGCGTGGTGTTCCTGCCCTCCTGCAAGTGATAGTGACGAATGTAGAAAGTACAAATCCGCTGGGGCTAACAACTGGTCCGTGCAGAAACCTTCTCAAACCCCCTCAGCCCTTTCCCAATTGCGCTTCCTCACTAACCGAGACACTATCATGGACCCTACCAGTGCCACCTCGCCAGGCCATCCATTCTTCATGTGATACATTTCCACTGTGGTCGAACCGGACAATAAGTGAGCCGCTCGCTCAACGGGATTGAAATGTAAACACCACCAGTGTTGGCAAACAAACACGGATTATTAGGTAAGCTGTCGATTGCATCAGCCAGGACCCTGCCCAGCGCCCACTCACTGCTGCAGGTTGCACAGACGACGACCAGAAGCTAATGCTTTTGGGAAAATCTGCCCATCGTCCACAAAAGAAGATCCACGCTAGGCATTTGGATAAACACTTGCTCTGCTCCTGGATCACGTTACTCTGGCGCCCTGGGTACGATATTCCGATATCGTCAATTCTTTCACATGTTCCCATCCTCACGAGTACGGATACGTTGTGATTGTCGACAAGCAAGCATCCTCCCTCCACAACTTCCGAACCTCCGAGTCGTGGGGCTTGAGGGCAACGTCACCCGGACCAGGCGCAACCCCCGATCACGCCGTGGGAGGTCTTGATTGCCGTACTTTCAGAGGGCCCGTCTGTCCAGAGAGCTTGTTTCTGCCCGTTTCATCTGAACCATTTGTGCGAATAGCACCTCGAAGTTTCACTGCCCCGACGCCGGCTGCCACTCAAACCACGCGGTTGGCCAATCCACGAACGAGTTCGGAAAGTTCCACGTGGCGTACAGCAAGCATGCGAATGATGCTGTCCCAAGATCCCCTCACCATGCTAGGGCTATGAATGGCTGAGCTACGAGAGTGTACCGCAGTAGACGTCGTCGCCGCCTGCGTCGGTGTCAGAAAAACCGAAAGGCAACTCATGAGAAGATTGTTGGCGCAGTTCTGAAGAAGCTTCTCAGCCAGCTTCGCTGCTATTTGCGGTGTAATTTGGGTCTGACTGGTGACTTGGAGGTTGGCTGAACCTTGCCTGTTCAGAATCATCCGCGTTGCCGCTCGTCGACTGGCTTCACGGGTCTTGGGATAGAACACCGGACGATGGAAATGTCGACGTCGACTAGACCTTAAATGTTTCTGACGGCTGTATGACAGGTCCCCAAACCCGACGGATTTGTTCATGTCAAAAAAACAAAAAAGTGAGGGAATGACACGGCGACTCCGAGCACTGTGTGGTACATATCTCCCATCAACGGACCTCGGGCGAATGTGGGCCTCCACGATGCTGTCCGACTCCAGCGGCTGTCGTTGGGATGATGCAGAGTTCGTGGTTGTCCGGAAAGGACAAGGACCCAGGCGTGAGGCTGAATTGCCAGACAAACGTCGGTGGAAAATGCAGCCCAACCATCCGGAGGGCAGCGCGCGGACGCCGTTATTTCAAACGTCGGAAGGGCGGCGCATGATACGCAGAGTCCGACGGGCTCCGGGGAGCGTTAAAGCGACTTCCGTTGTTCGTTCCTACTGGCTCACGATCGCAGTCTGACAGGTGAACTGAGCATGGGAAGTGTTTGGAGTTGTCAACAGTCAAAACAGAGAACGAACCATCCATTGTCAGTCTTGATTACTTTCTGAAGGCCACTCAGTGAGGGCAATACGACGACCTCGGGAGCAGTATCCGATCAAGGAGATATATCCTTGGAACTCGGCAAGATAGCCTTTGCGTAGGCCCGAAAAGTCGCAAAAACCGCAACTCAAAATCAACCTCGCTCTTGGTCATCCTTGCTCACGGGGACTATCTTCTGGCCGGTGCTTCCTCCTGAGCGGTGCTGCTGCCAATGGCATCTCCCATAACCACAGCTGCAGCCTCGTCGAAAGGCATCACGACATACAACCTGCCCTACAGATTTTGCGCAAAGGTCAGCCAGGCAAGACGCAAAAAAAAAATGACTGCTGCGTCTTTTTAAATACACCAACCAAATTATGCTCAAGGCTGCCGTCACAAGCGGCTGCGAATGTCATCAAGCCCACCAGGCCCAAAAAGGCAACGAGCTGTCCCTGCATTCTGTCCCAATCCAGGCAGGACCTTCCCCACCATCGACAGCTTCACCGAAATGGAAACGCGTTTTCTACCCCGCTAAAGAGACGCGACGAGCAAGAAAAAAAAGAAAGCGCAAAATAAAGCTTCGGATAAAACACATGTGATTTTTCTTGACACGATCCACGCCAAGTCATCGTCGCAGCCGCAGTCGATTTAGCAGCCGTATCCATACACACAAAAAGACAATTGATCACCACCACCTCAGCTGAAAGACAGTCAGCCCGCCAAAAGGCACCTGGAAGCATCCGTACCCAGGCGCTACCACTTACCCCGCTGCCCGCCGTGCGGACATGCATTGCAGACACTGGCGGCAGCACCAGCGCCACGGGCAGCAGTGCGCCCCGGATAGTAGCCGCTGATATTAGGCCCCCCCAGGGTTGTCAGGTCCACAGCCAAACCGCTGAGTCTAACCCTTCCTACCACTGACAGCGGTCGCAGCGGAAGGCCGGCGCGGCGGGCGGGCCTCCCAGCCGCCGAATCACAATCCGCCAGACAGCCAAAAGCAGCATTCGACTTTCTCAGCTGTAGCTGCCCTTGCATTCGACCCGATCAGCCCAGGCCCGAGCGAGGATCACTTCTTTCCAATAATTGGGCGCGAAAGACGTCGCCTTACCTTCTGAGGAAACCCTGGTGGCCCACAACGTTGTTTACTTCCCTCCCAATCCGACGACATCAGCCCGTCCGCCCGCCCGCTGGCTGCGATTGTTCAAATACCGACCGTACTCGCTCAGAGCGGGTTCGCATGTGGATGCTGCATTCTCTCCGTGAGGTAAGTCCGGCCCAACCCCCGATGTTTGGATAAATACGGTAATTCCAGGGAGAAAAAAAAAAAAAAAAACATACAATGACAAAGGGACATCGACGCAACATGGATTTTGAGAAGATACGTCCACACTACACACAAAGAATCATCCCAAAATCTTAATTGCAGCGAACCCGCCCTTGAGGAAGCTCACAGTGTCTCGCATCACTCCGTTAGAGTTCAGTCACTTGTCATGTCACCATGACGGCCACCACCACCACCAGCGCTCGCCACACCTACCTGCCTACCTCCCCTTCCGCAAACGGCAAGGTTCCTAAGACGACGAATGATTGGCGGTGCTGATTTGTAAGGATACCGCCGACTTGTTTCACGGGCCGTTTCCTCGTTTACTCGCAAACTGGGGGGTTAAACACTGTGGACAAAATACTTGGTAGACGGTAGAGAGAGTGAGGGGGGGGGTAGGCAACATCGTGAAGACGTGAAAGTGATTAGCAGTTTTGTCAGGTCAGGCCATGACTTTCTAGTAACAGAAAAAACAGCCGCGCAAAAGGTCAAGGAAGTACAGTGCTATCATACAATTCAACTGATTCCACCCCCTCTCACGTGGCCCGGTCCTCCCCTCCCTCTTGTCCGCATTGTGATTCGTTTTCCCTTTTCCGAAGCAGCTCGTCTCTCTCGTCTTGTTCCCCTGGGCATATCTCATCTGACTCCAAAAGCAATTCGGGCGCGGAAGGGCGATAGAGGCAAGGTCTTTTCTCTCAAGACAGAGAGCAAGGATACAGACAAAGTGTGTGTATGTGAATGTATAGTTGTTTTGTTGATTTGCCCAGGGCCGGGGTATCGAAGCCGAGTCCTACGAAAATCCTCAGGGGAGGTTTTGTGGAAGAATAACAAGAAAAATAAAGAGGAAGTCGCGCGCGTCTTGGCTCATGATCCACGACAGAAATCATCAGTCCCATTCCAGGAAAACGTGCCTGCTCCAGCCGTGAGATATCATGCTCTCATGCTGAAAAAACCTAATCCACCCGCGCCGGAATCTCCTTCTCTACCCCTTCTCAAGGGCAGACCACGCGAACATCCTCCCCCGCATAAACGAAAGAGAGAAAAACTTGGCTAGCACCGCCATACAAACTACCGCGCCACGCTTCCAACCTCCCGTCTGGAGCCAGCATCAGAAAGAAAAGGCCCACGGCACAAAAATGTTTTGTGTTCAACGAGACCGCCTGCGCAATGCCTGTCCGTCCGTCATGACTTCTCTCATCGAGTGTGATCCATGTTGCCGTGTTCTCGTCACATCCTCCCAGGTGTCCACCACAAGATAGCATTAGGTCTCGCTCCGTAATAAGGGCAGTGCGCAGAAGTCTTTGATCCTCGTTTAATGCCAAAGCCTGCGACTGTGGTCATTGGCCAAGGACTTCAGACTACCGCGCACTGGCGACGGAATCGAAGAAGGGGAAATCGGGAGCAAGGGAAATAAAAGAAACGTAGTGGAACGAGATGCAGCAAGTGGTAACACCGAACTTTAACGCCAAACCGCCAGAGCCTCGGGTTTGAGTAAAAAAATGCCGACCATGTCCGGTGCCGACGAGCGAGGTCTCCAGAATGCAGAGGATGTCAGGTATCAACGAGAAATGCATTGGTCATGGAGTTGTTGTTGGCTATCATGACTGGTGCGACGTGTGCTGAGGGAGACCAGACGGAGGCATCGCGTAGCCACCACCCCGTTGTTGTTGCTGAACATAGCTCTGGTAGGCGAGCGCTTGCGAAGGGTCCATGCCACCGACGGGCATGCCGTAGTTGGGGGGCATGTGAGGGTTATGGGGCATGCCCTGGCGTTGGGGAGGAAGTTGTTGCTGAGGAGGCTCTTCGGGAGAGTCGACCTGGTTCGAGTCGTCGACGCCGTTCTCACCACCCTGAGAGGGTTCGGGAGCGTTCAGACATGCCTGCATCGCGAGTTAGCCCTCAAGGTCCATACCCGGGATGGAAAACGGGGAGAAGCCATACCTGGATCAAGTTCTTGCCCTCAGCCTTAGTGACGAGAGGCTGCAGCTTTGGTGTCGTGAAAGTGTAAACCAGACCAGTCTCTGAGACGACGAGAAGCAGGACCTGAGTACCGGTGAGGACAGAGAGTTCGTAGGCCTGGAGAACGCGTCAAGTTAGCAATTGATGCATCGAGTACGATGGTTTGCATGCGGCCAGGCGAAGTGTGATGATGATAACAAGCAGGCGTGTGGAGGAATGCGACGGGTACTTGCCTTCTTCATAATACCTGCTTTGCGCTTGGAGAAGGTGATGTGACGACGAGACTTGTCGTTGATGAACTTGATCTCAATCTTGCGACGCTCGCGACCGCCCTTGTCGTCATCATCATCTTCATCGTCAGCGGTGCTGGGACGCTGGCGCTTGACGCCTCTGTTCTCGGCAGCGTTGCCGTTGCCAACCTGGGACTCGTCGAGGTCGGTGGGCGAGGTCTGGTCGTGTTGATCGGTGATGTCGGCCATTGTGGACTTTGTGATTGTCGGATGGTATCACGAGGCAGTAAAAAGTAAAATAACGGTGGAGATGCTGCTTTGAGCGTGGTGCCGATTGATCTATACTTGATCAGGAGGCAAGGGCTGTTGTTGTGTGTAGCTTGATTCTGTCGCAGAAGAAACCAGGTCGGGACGGGACGTAACCTGTATCGAGTCTGGTGCAGAGCGGTTGCGGTGGCCTTGTGGTGGTTGGTGCCTTGCGAGTGGTGGAGGGTGGTGGCAGGTGGAAGGATAGTAGGTAGAGAGGAGGGACAGGAAGGAAGTAGGGCGAAGAGCCAAAACCACAACCGGGAAAGGCAGGTGTAGGTTGCTCGGGTAGTGGTGGCAGCAGGTGGGTAGTGCGTGTAGTGCGTTTTTTGCCGACCAACGGAAGCGAGGAATTTGCTGATTTAATTTTTTTATTTGCTTTGTTTGACTTTTGGGGCTGCCGTGCCTGGCATGCGCTTGTGCTTGTCGGGGCAGCGAAGGAACAGAAGTTGTCTAGGTCGGCGGTAGTCGAAATCGACTATCTTTTTTGACAAGCGCGCCGTGTGGTTGAAGGATGGGGTGGTGGTGTTTAAAAAGGGTAAGTGGTGGTCGCGGTTCTGGTTCGCGGGTACGAAGCAAGGCAAGGAGGTAAGGTGGGAGAGAGGCTTGGCCTTGCGAAACGAACTGGGCTGCGGTGCGGGTTATGAGCCGAGCGGGTTTGGTTTGTGTGGTGTTGGTCTGCGGTTCTGCGGGTGCGCTCGAGTGGATTGGAGGGTGGGTGGGCGCGCAGAAAAAAGGAAAAACGCGACTCGAGGAACCTGGGACTGGGTACTGGCTCTTCGGGTCGGAGTTTGGGTTGGGGGGCCCACGGGTGAGTGAGCTGAGATCGAGGGTGATGATGTGCCTGGGAGCCTGGCAAACTGAGATGGGTACAACACGTCCGGGAATGTGCTGCAATGGTCCTTCTTTTTTTTTTGTGATTGCCTGTGCACTAAACCGATAAACGGGTTTGGCTTGACGCAAAATAGAGGGTCAAAATCGAGAAATGCCGCTGATACTGGCGTCTCTTTTTCTTCCTCTCTTCGGTGGTCGATGCGTATCGGTAGACGCTTCTGGCTGTCAAGTAGTTTCCCCTGCTGCTCAAGAAACAAGCAACAAGTGTCAGTTGGGGAAGAAGCTCGATTGAGAATAAGGCGAAGGGGACTGCGGAGTGAATGAAAAGAGGATAGTGAGGTGGTAGCACGGGCTGCGGCCACGACCAGACAGTTTAAGGAAAAACGAAAGGCGGGGGGGTGGCGGTCTTGGGCTCTGGGACTCTACGGAGACCTCAGAGTCGCGACGGGGGGGCCTTGGGGGAGAGACCAGGGTGTCGAGTGCTAGCTAGGTTGTAGCGTACAGTGCGCGGTACAAGATACCTGGCCTCGAAGGGGGTGGGTGTGGGAGGGGTGGTTGTGATGGATGTTGAATGGGTGGATGAAGAGACTGAGATGATGGTGGTTATGGTGAGGGTGCCTGGGGTCAGGTACCTTTGGCTATGTAAGAGGTGGTGGGATGGGATGGGCGGATGGGATGTGCGTATCCGTACTTTTTTTTTTTTTTTTTTCCCCTTCTTTCTCTTTTGCTTCCCTCTTGCTCTGCTTTTCTGGTGCCTGTCTTCCGGGATGCTGCCGTGGCCTCCTTCCTCGCATAGGTCACTGTGTCTCCAGCTTATCTAATCCCATTTCAATCTACGGATACAATAAGCTGATGGGAGGAGCAGTGGGCATCTGTGATCCAAAAAAACCGCAAGAGCGAATAGACAATTGAGTCCAGAACAGGACAACATCGACGGAAGGGCTACACCACGGACGCAGACAACGGCGGCGGGGAGATGTCCAGGGAAGCGCGTGTACGAATACTAAGTACATAGGGTACCTTCCCAGCAGGACCAGACGAGCGAACGGGGTTGGTCGAGGAGGTGAGGTGGTGTCGAAAGAGGAGAGTGGGTCCTTCCACAAACGACCCGCCAAGTACCTTACACTGTTCCCTTCTCTCGTTCACATCACACGCTCCATCCCGAGTTTCTCTCCGCTGTCCTGAGATACTCAGTCCCTCAGGTCTCAGCTCTGAATTTCTTCAGCCCTTTCCGTCCTCCATCACCACCTACCTCCTGCTCCCAGTTAGGCTCGTTCATCCGGCAGGCGTCTTCTGTCGCCCACTTTGCCATGCCTGCGCTGACGGAATACTAGCAAAAGTCTCGATAACGGTCGCGTTTAATCTTCACTAACCATCAACAAAGCACAGAGTATCTGTATTCCAGGGCCCCCCAGCAGCCTGCTGAGGGACGAGAGATGAGGAGAGATACTAACCCACACCCACCTGCAGCTAAGAAGGTTTTCTCCCAGCTCAAGCGCAAGTACGCACGCAGTACAGGCATTCGCACAAGATACAGAGAGCACTGCGAATCAGCATCAGTAGGCATCGCTATCAGTCAGTATCTCGACTACCCGTATCTGCATCCGCACGTATCAGTACCGGCAGCGCGGCAGCACCACCCGCATCCAATATGTATTTTGCCTTGCCTTACCCATCATGTACCGCCCGCCGTGCCAAAAACTTGACCTCCTCTTTCTTGCCTCGTTCTCTTCCACACTTTATTATAAACACATCATGGTCTTTCCTGTCATGTATTGGTCATTCGGCGCCTCCAAAACGGCATTGAGGTGCCTTGAGCAACACTAGGCCCAACCATCGCGCCTCGCATGTGTATCCTCAGCACATAGGTACAAGTAGATAACTCAACTTCTGAGCAATACGATGCCAGAGAAACCCCCAGCAGTAGCCCCAGTTGTAGTCCCCGTCCCCGATAGACGCCAAGCGATGGCATGCCCTGCCAATTGACACTGTTAGGTTGCGTCCCGCCATGGCTGTGGGGCATGTCGGTCAGGTCGCGGCCGACCGGACCAGACTCGCGCGGCCCTAGGCTGGCTGGATTTCTGGACGCGGATTTTGGGGAGTTTCCCACGCCCATGGTCTTTGGCCCGTGGACGTCGAAGGTTAGGTTGTTTCCGCACTCATTCATGACTTGCGGCGTGCGCAGCATTCGTACCTACTGCAGCTTGACTCTCCCATGTCTCGCCGATGCGCGCACAGGTAGGGCAGTTGGCTGCGGTACGTACACCTGTAAATAGGTACGGCACTGAGCAATATTGCTTGTCTATCTGTACGCTTAGATTCAGAGGCATTTACAGGGTCATCTATGTCATGTAGAATTTTCCTGAAAAGGGGGCGGGCGGGCAAACGCGGTGCAACCGTCGCGATGAACAAGGGGTCGTCGATTTGACGCGTCGAATCTTGACCTCTCTTTCTTTTCCCTTTTCCTCAATCTTCCTGTCTCCTGGTTCGTGCCGAGCAGCTCGAGCTCTCAAGGACCGTGTGCAGGAAACGTACCTGACTTGTCCGGTTTGGGATCTGCTCCCTGTGTCTCGAAACTGCTCTCCTCGAGTATCGGGCTAACGCAAGGCAGAGGGTTGACGGCAGAGGTCGACGTCCTGTCAGAACCTAGAACATTCGCACTGGCGCTGTCAAGGCCTTCTTTTTGGCTTCTCTCGCTTGCGGTCGCGTTCGTGGCTTTGCCTTTCCAATGGCTTTGGCCGCCATGCGCTGAACCATGACGGCGCCGCCCATCTGTCGTCGACTTGGTTCCGGGGACAGTCCCTGTCTCTGCCGGCGAGCATGTCAGTCACGTCAGCAGAAGAAAGACACCCACGACGGCTCCAACTCCAACCACCGGTTCTCTACTGCCGAGGTACAATATACAGCAAGGTACAGATATGGAAAAGGACCAAGCAACCCTAATAGATATAACCCAAGGTGTGAACACAGAAGTACTATACTCAGTACTGGAAGACACAGAGGTCTCGAGAGAGACGAAGACGAGGTAAACAAGGTACGATAACTTTTCCTCTGCCATGGCAGCCTCGGCCACCAAGGTTACAGGAACCTTGCCTTATATAAGGAAAGCAGCAGTGAGGTAAGTAGCCAGTACTCTGCATCCGTCAAACAACACAATGGCAGACCAACAACTTGACAACTTCAACAACAACTTCGACCCAGAGAGCGCCGTGTATGCCAACCCTCAAGCGGCTGCTCGAGGTATGCGAAGGCTCCGGTTGGGAGGAGTGCAAGGGTTCCTTGCAGGCACCACTAGGCTCGGCACCAGGGATACCATCGCCATGTTCGTCTTCGGTGCCCGCCTCCAGAGGCAGGCTGGACTGCGGCTAACAGACTCACAGACTCAAGCTCTGGACCAGGCCTATAGGAAGTGTCGACGGGGGGTAATGGATCAGACGGAGCGGGATCTCGTCACGGCTCTCCAGGGTGATGAATATGCTGCCTACAGAGCCGCTCTGCTGAGGGCCTTGTCGATCGCTCAGATCGCGTAGGAAGGGCAGGATGAAGAGTTGAGGGATAAAGCAGTGTACCAAGACCAATACAAGAGAAATTCAAACCAATAACAGGCCACTCACACCCCAGGGTGGGGGGAGGGTCGGTTCTCTACTGCGTATGTCTCGCACTCACTGTTGCCCCTCATTTTTAGCTCCTCAATCCCAGGGCCAGACTACCAGTGGCATCCATGGGAAATAAGCGATCGTGGTATGGGTACAGTGTAACACAGTATGCACCATGGCGACTCGTAAACGGTGGTCATAGCAGCGACTGTCCCCGACTGGTTGGCGTTGTGGCTTCAATGGCAGCGCGATAGACCAAAGGGCCTGCTCCCGTAAAGAGGGGACCAACGACGATGGGTGAAAAAATGTCCAGCCAAACAAAATGACCGGACCACTCTAGAGAGGAGCCCCTATGGCCTCGACCTCGAGAGACACGAGGAGGCACCGCACAATATTGAACGAACGCGCCAACGAATAATTAATGATTCCTGGGCCAGGTGGGTCTGTTGCTGGCCTGTTGATTGGGATCATGGGAGAATGAATGATCGGGAAAGCGCCCAGTGCGACCAGTGT